GGCTTCGGGCCGCTGGCGGGTCGCTACGGGCACTCGCTCGCGCCCCCACACGCACACGCGACGCCTGGCCGGCCCGCCGCGCCGCCCCGCCTCTCGCACTCCCGGTGCTAGCCCGCTGTCCCGCGCTGGCTCACTCACACTCTCCCCCACAACACGCCGGCCTAGGGAGGAAGGGGGCGGTCCGGGCTCCCGAGGCGTGGGGAGGGCTGTTTATTTGGGGGGAGGAGGGGCGCGAGGCAGGAACGAGCTGACTGGCCGGGATCCTCCGACCCGCCACTGTGGCAGCACCGGGAAGGCGGAGAGAAAGAAAGAGGGAGGGAGGGACCGGGATGTCGGACTCGAGCCCGCGCGGGAGGCTGTGTGGAGGGGGCGGCAGCGGCCACGGCTGAGCCCCCGGAGGGGGTGGGGCCAGCGCCCCTCGGCAATCTCCGCCGCCTCCGCTCAGGCGGCCCGAGGGAAGCCGGGAAGAGATCGGGGAACCTCGGGAATCTCCGGCATCGGCCTGGAATTGTCCTGGAGGCGCAGCGCGACTGGAGAGCCAGCCAGCACGGAGGGGCGGGGCTGTAACCTGGGGCAGGCGGAGTTTGAAAGACTCGAGAGCCCGGGAGCAATTTAAGATTATAGGACTAGTACTGCTGAATTGTGACCCGAGATCACCCATTTGGCCGCTTTGGCCCCATGGAAGAGAAGGGACACTCTGTGAGGAGGGCCAGGGTGAGAAGGGCTCTTTGCTCTCCCGGAGAAGAATGGAGATCTCGAGTTGGAAAGTCCAGAAATGAAGCCACCTTTCACATGGCTCTCCCCAGTTCTGAGAGCTTTTACTCTAAGCATAGTTATTATCACATTCCGAAAGATCTTAATAATACCTGATGTTTTTAAGGGCTTTACAGTTTGTACAATGCATACACAGGCCCGATTTAATGCTCGTGATATAGGTATAGTAGATACCATCATCTCCATTTCATTGATAATGAACCTGAAGATTAGTAAGTCCTGCAGCAAAAAATGGCAAGTCCACATCAAAAGGCACCAGACCATTTTCCTCTTTCTCTACATTTTGCTGCCCGAGTAGTACTTTATTGCTTACCAACTTTGGGTAGATAAAGATATCTCCCTCCTATCAAACAGTAGAAAGAAGGACTACATCTACTTTCCAAAAGTCCAAAATTGTACCTGCACTTTATAGTAATGAAAAGACATCGCATGAATGATTTGGTTCTAGTCTCGGCCTTGCCACCTAGCTCCTTTTAGACCCCAGCTCCATCGTTATAAAATGATGAGATAGTTTCTATCAACCAGAGGTGATTGTTGCCTTTCTACCATCCCCACCTTTGTCAATGTCTGAAGGCATTTTTGATTGTTATAACAGGGAGATGCTGCTGGCATCTTGCAGTTAGAAGCCAGGAATGTTGCTCAATAGCCTACCATGCACAGGACAATTCCCACAGGAAAGAATTTATTGAGAAAGAAATGTCAATAGTTTACAGGTTGAGAAACCTTGTGTTAGATATTTCTAAGGTTATTTCCAGTCAGTCTATAACTTGGCCTTTGAACTTGAGTTTAACCCGGCCAGAATGCAGACAGTACAATAGTAAAGGTCCCTGCTTAGAGTCAGACCAACCTAGGTCAGAACTCAGGCTTTACCAGCTACTGCCCACATAATGATAAGCCAGTGGTGACTAAGAATTTCTGTTTAAAAGGTGTTCAGAGCTGCAAATTGGAAGGACGGGCTGTAAACCTGAACTGAAGCTGAGTTTTCACATCAAGTGCATATTACTTAGGCTTTGTTACAGATCAATAAAAATTTTATATTGTCAATAAAAATAAAATTTGGCTCTGTTGCTTACAACTCCTGATGCCTTATGAAAACTAATTTCTCTATATCTCAATTTTTCCATCTGAAAATTAGGACAATAATCATAATAATACCTTCCTGAGAGGATTATTGTAAGGATTAAATGAATTATCACTTTTTTTTTTTTTTTTTTTTTTGAGACAGAAATGTATTTGGGGCCCAGCTCTGCCCCTTACTG